ACCACCACAAATGATGCCACGTACTTATCCACCACATACACATCATATTAATAATCCACAAAATCCAAATTCATCTTCAATTGCTATATGTGGTTCATGTCATAAAGAAGCACAAGATACTGAAGGGACAGTGCTTTGTGAATCAGGTTGTAATTTTTTTTATCATCGAACATGTGTTGGATTAACAGAACATGCATTGAAAATGCTTATTCATGAAAATTATGCAGAATGGGTATGCGACAAATGCTTTGCAGAAAAACATGTACCACCTGTTAAACTTAAATCTTGAATTTTTCTTTTTCTTCTTCTTCTGTATGTATAAATCTTATTGTATAATGTAGAATAATAAATGTCAACTTAATGTTCATCTTATTGAAATCTTTAATAGAAATCAGATCGTGCCTTTTATTTCGTTACAATATCTGAGATTAAAATTAAAAAAAATATACATATAATATTATTTAAATTCGATGTTCACTTTGATCAATATTAAATATGTCTAAAACAAATCGATTCACTGTTTCAGTTGAATATCGAATACAAGTCTGATTATTTTCCACTTGTCGTCGAATATATTTTATACATTCAGGTGACATTAATTTTATACTAGGAATATTACTCATCATCGTAAAGAATTCTGGAGCATGTGTACGTGCAAGTATATATAATGATTCAATGCCGGATGACATAAAACAAATATTTAATGATTCAAAACTAACTCTCATCATACATGCACATACTAAATATTGATATATATCAGATGTTAAATGAAATGCAACTGCTGCTGTACCCCAAACATGTGCCATTTTATGTATAGGTGAAAATTGTTTTGATTGATTACCATTTTCATCAAAATAACGTCCAATATCATCTAACATTTTGAATACATCAATATTTAAATGTTGTTGTTGCTGAAAAATTGTTGATCCATAACCAAAAAGAAAAAGATTGAGAGCAACATAAAGACTATTTGCATGTTGAAGACTATTAGATGGAAGACGAGCAGCATATGAAAGTAACCAATGAGCACTAGGTATAGCTATATTTGGCTGAAGAACAAATTGAAGTACAATCTGTCGCCATATATAACGACATTTTTCTGGACTTGGATTATCCATATTTAATTGACTAAGAAAATCATCATACGTTGAATCTAAGAAAAAAGAAATCTTTTGGTTAATTAATTCTTATCATCAAGAAAACGTACTAAGTCTTGAACGTTTTCGACCTTTTATAAGATTACATTTAAATTCCGCTTGAAATTCAAGTTTCATTCCTATATCTTCTAATTTTTTTTGTTGTCGATCTTTTATCATTTTATCATGAAGAGTTATTATTTCTGTTATATTATTTAAATTGCTTGCTAGCATTTCCGCTTGATCATATTGACATTGTGCTTGATTAATAGAACCTATTGTTTGATAAGCTTCAGCACAAATTAAACGTAAATTAAATAATATTTGTTGATCATAATGATCTGAACGTATAAGAAATATTCGAGTTAAAAATTCGCATATATCAACAGGTGCATGTTTATTTGTATGTGTGTACATCCACATTTGTAGATCACCATAATTATAAAGTGTAGTATCATTTGGATATTTTGCAAGTGCAATGGTTACACGTGATAGAACATTTAATAGATTAGAATTCTCAATAACACTAAAAAGATAAACAATCAAATAAAAATTTTACTATTGAAAGAAAATTATACTCTTCAGTTCTTTGTTGCTGAATGATATTAAGAGAAGTATTTGGATTATATGTAGTTATAGCGAGACTAGATGAATCAAAATTATTGATTTGATCGACATTGAATGACTCATATTCTCTTTCTGAAAGCAAATAGAAACGAAAAAAAACAAATGAAATGTTTTCTTTGACATACTCACCTACAACTTTCATGCTGTTAGCAATATTTCTATTAAAAAAATAAAAAATAAGTATACGAAATCTACATATGTGTACAACTATTATTATTCAATCATTTAGTTGTTGTAATTTAGACACGAGGAGGTACTTACAATATAAGTTAATCCGATTTTAATTAGATGGCAGTTAATGTTTTTATTTTTTATCTACTCAAAATTTTAAATTGTAAAAATATATGTCGTGTATGTTCTGCATAAATAATGTATAGTACTCTATATTTGTTACTATGTTGTGATGTATTTATAGAGAAGAAAAATTATTCAGTTCAAAGGGGTGCTTTCTCTATAATAAAAACTTGGAATTTTCCAAGTAAATATTGTAAAGAAAAAGAACATGCTATTAATCGATTGTTTGTAAATTCAATCATTCTAAGCTGTATTTAATTTCGTTGCTATGATATGATTATATTTCTTTTTTGTAAAATGAATTTTTACATTTACTTATAAAACCAAGTATGATTAATAATAAACCACACGGTATAAATCTTGATGATAAACTTGTAAATGAATGTGAATATACAGCAGTTATTGTTGGACGCGATCTATCATCATATTTAATTGCTCTAATTCTTAAACAACATGGTCATCATGTAGCTATTGTTAGTCGACCAAATACACCAATAATGGTTGATCTATATGAATATTTATCATTGAAATATTTGTATGAAGCAGCACGACGACTTCGTTCTATTCAATCTCTTTGTACAAAAGGTTTTCAATTCAAATTTGATGAAAAGACATCTGAGTTCGATTGGCAACAATTAACACATGAATGTAAACAAGATTTTTTTGAAACAAAACAAAATCTCGAAAAAGAAATTTTTAAGAAAGATATTAGTATATATGAAGGTACTATTGTCATGATTGAAGATTATGTTCTACGAATTATTAGTGAAGGTATTAAAGAACGAAAAAAAACTAATAATTCTATAGATTTTTCTATATTTATTACGAAAGATGAATTAACTCAAATTGCTGTTCTACGAACAAAATATGTAATAATGAGTAGTGATATTTGTCGCTGTACAATGAAGGATTATACAAATCAAATTAATCATAATAGAATATTGAAGACATTAGTTGATATTATTCATTTAGATCAAATACCCAAGGTAGATTCTATATTTTTTAAACGGTTTGTTCATTGTTATTATTTCTCAGAGTTTAACTGTAATTGGTGGTGGTACTGTTGGTACATCATTGGCTTCATGTATGAAAGAGTTAGGTTGTATTTCAGTAACTATTATCGAACGGCAATTACATTGTCTAATGAGTATGAATCACATTGATAGAGAAATAGCTGCTTATATTGAATCAATACTGATTAAACAACAAATCAATATTATTACAAAATGTGCTGTAAATTATCTTACAGAAACTGCACTGTATTCTATAACTGATCCAATTAAGTTAACATTATCGTTAAATATTTTTTTGATAAATTTAATTGTATGATACTAGTGTAGAACTGATGTTCAATTTATTGCTATTGGTACAAAACGAAAATTGAATACAGTACATAATATTCCAACAACAGCTCTTATTCAATTAATTGAACGTGTTTCATTTGGACGTAAAATTCAACTAGGAACAACGATAAATGACGGACATGGAGAAACAGTGGTTATACCTATAACTCCTATTGTTCCAATTGATTATCAACGTATGAAAAGTTTTTGTTCGATAGAACAAGGTATAAGTATTGCCTATCGAACAATTTGTCAATGTTTAAATGATCCTAAACCTAATTTTGTTATGCCTTCATTCATATTCACAATACCTCCATTATTATTAATGGGACAAACACGAATACCAGCTGATAATATGTTTATTTGTCGAGTAACTGTTCCGCCTACTATAAAATATACCATTGATACACCTCCTCGTGGTTAGTTTGCATATATGTGTTCATACTGAAATTGATTTATTTCTTCAGGCTTTGGTAAATTGTGGATATCTCGAACACGTAAAATACTCTGTGGTGTTCAGCTTGTCAGTGAACATGTGTTTATGTTTGGTAAAGCATTCAGTATTCTTATTCGCAATGAAATATCATTGAATGATCTATGCAATCGAATTGAGTTACCTGGTTCAATTGGTGAAGTCGTACAAATTATGATTAAACAAGCTATGTATAATATTAATAAAACCTGTTATACATCATAAACTATACAGATTAATATATAAAATTAACAATATTTTTGTATATTAGTTATTAAATAATGTTTATCAGTTCGAATTGAAAGAAGTATTTGTTCATATATCAAGGTGGATGTGGTCTTTTTTTAAAGCTTAGTGTAAATGAATTATATTTCCTATTTACAATCTGAAAATGAATAGTGTAGTTTCGATCTATGATATTTTCATATCTTGTTTGAAAGAGTATCTTGTGACTTTGAATCCTCGAGATAACGAGGTGTGGGTGTGTGTAAATAAAAGATGAATCCACCCTCACCATCTTGAGGGTGTCGATGTGGGTGAGCGAGTAGATTAAATATCCCCACTCACACCGAATCTAATGATGATATATGATAATTATGAACCACAAATAGTTTCTCCTTTTCAGTTGAAAATTTTGCAATTTTAGTCATTGAAAATACCTTTATTATAATTTCTGAGAAAGTAATTTAAGAAGGTGATTCTTTTTAATAACCGTTTATATATTTACTACCCATCGACAACATATTAATTGTATTATCAGATACTTTATTATAAAAACTCTGCCAATATTTTTCATTTTAATCGAAATCAAAAAAAGAATCAGATGAAAGATAACATTTTATCTATTATTTCAATTTTCGTACTCCAACAATTGACTGAACAAGTAACCGACAAATTAATTATTCGTGCAACGAACCATCCAACAACGAATTTCCCAGTCACCCCTCTAGGGACACCAATAGAAGAAAACATTAAATCTCTACCGAATGATTAATAAATTTTCAGGATGCTAAGAATAAGTGAAATATAATTGGCATAAAAAAGACTGAAATACAGAAAAAATGTGGAAGCCGAGAATAACTTGAAAAATTTGGAATTCTTCTGTATTTTCGAGACTATCTTTGAATTAGACTTGATGCGTTTTATAGTTTCTCGAACGAGAATTAGAAGTAGTAAATGAAGAGGATATTGGGTATTTTATGGAGCTAGATAGGTATTGAATGCTTTTTTTTCATAGATGAATCATATTCGAAATGTGATTGCCGTCGTACTTGTTTCGCATCGATGAATTGATTTGATTTTACCGTTTTTTTGCTCTGCATAATATTGTTTTCAAAAATAACCAGGTGAAGTTCGTCCTTGACTGACAAGAAAAAAACACATGTCTTTGAAGGCGTCAAACAATTGAAGAAAAATCAATCACTGTCTATATAAAGAAAAACAGTGATCTTTCTTTTCATTCAAACAACAATATCTACTGACAAGTTCACTTTCAGCAATAAGATCAGAATGAGCGGATCAAAATTAAATCAAGATGCTGCTACATCATCTAATATTCGTCAACCACGACGACGTATAGCACAAAATTACCTTCTCCTATGGGTAGACACCGGCATGGACGAAGTAAACGAAGATTATAAAAATATATTAAAACAAATACGAACTATTACTGGTGATGTCAATGTCTTTACGCAACGAGATGCATGCATCGACTTTCTTACAGATACCCAAGAAGACACCAAATCTTCTCTTATTGTCAAGGATGCGATGTCTCAACAAATGATACCCCTCATCAATGATATTCCTCAGTTGGATGGTGTCTATATCTTCCGTCATATTAAAACTCTACATGAGGAATGGACAAAAAAATGCGACAAAATCAAGAGCATTCATACCAATATTGATGATCTATGCCAAGCATTACAAATCGGTATTAAGCAGGTCAATCAAGACTCAATAGCCATGAGTTTTATCCCAGTGAATGACATAGCTTCTGCTGATAATTTAAATCAGTTGGAGCCAACTTTTATGTATACACAGCTATTCAAGGAAATTCTTCTTGATATGGAACATAACAAACAAGCTATCAAAGACTTTATTACTTACTGTCGAGACCATGACTGCATGTCACCAAAATATATTGACCGTTTTGAGAAAGAATACCATGCACAATCCGCTATTTGGTGGTATACTTTCCCATCCAATATCTCTTCGATGCTCAATTATGCTCTTCGCTCTATGGAAGGCGATACTATTATTAATATGGGTTTTTTCATTCATGATCTTCATCAACAAATCCAAGAACTATATCAACAACAGGTTAATACTTATCAAGGCAAACCATTCACAGTTTATCGGGGACAAGGTCTTATAAAATCGGACTTTGAAAAACTTCAAAAAACAAAGGGTGGACTAATATCATTTAACAATTTCTTGTCCACCAGTAAAAATGATGAAGTGTCCCTCGGTTTTGCTCAAACTGCTTCAACAGAATCAAATAAGGTTGGCATTCTCTTTATAATGTCCATTGATCCTTGTTTAAAATCAACACCATTTGCCTGTATTGCTAAACTCAGTTATTACGAGGCACAAGAAGAAGAAATTCTCTTCTCAATGCACACCGTCTTTCGGATGGGTACGATTGCACAGATGAGCAATAAGAATCAAATCTATAAGGTTGAATTACAATTAACGTCGGATGATGATCAACAATTACGACTACTGACTGATCGGATACGAGAAAAAGTTCATGGTACTGGATGGGAAAGTTTGGCTAACTTATTGCTTAACATTGGCCAATTTAATAAAGCTGATGAACTTTATAGCGAATTACTCGAACAGACATCTGATGATGTTGAAAAAGCGTTTTGTTATCATCAGCTGGGATATGTCAGAAATGCTCAAGGTGATTATGAAAAGGCTGTTTGGTATTACGAAAAAGCACTTAAAATCTATGAAAAAACTCTTCCTTAAAATCATCCTTCATTGGCTACTTCATACTGCAACATCGGTTTAGTGTATGACAATATGGGAGAGTACTCGAAAGCACTTTCATCACACGAAAAAGCACTTGAAAGTGAACAACAAACTCTTCCTTCAAATCATCCTGATTTGGCTACTTCATACTGCAACATCGGTTTAGTGTATAACAACATGGGAGAGTATTCGAAAGCACTTTCATCACACGAAAAGGCACTTGAAATTCAACAAAAAGCGCTTCCTTCAAACCATCCTCGTTTGGCTACTTTGTATAGCAACATCGGTGGTGTGTATGACAACATGGGAGAGTACTCGAAAGCCCTTTCATCATACGAAAAAGCACTTGGAATTAAACAAAAAGCGCTTCCTTCAAGTCATCCTCATTTGGCTACTTTATACAGCAACATCGGTTTGGTGTATAACAACATGGGAGAGTATTCGAAAGCACTTTCATCACACGAAAAAGCACTTGAAATCTATCAGAAAAGTCATCCCTCAAACCATCCTTCATTGGCTACTTCATACTGCAACATCGGTGGAGTGTATTACAATATGGGAGAGTACTCGAAAGCACTTTCATCACACGAAAAAGCACTTGAGATCTATCAAAAAGCGCTTCCTTCAAATCATCCTTTATTGGCTACTTCATACGGCAACATCGGTTGTGTGTATGACAACATGGGAGAGTATCCAAAAGCACTTTCACCATACGAAAAGGCACTTGAGATCTATCAAAAAACTCTTCCTTCAAACCATCCTCGTTTGGCTACTTTATACAACAACATCGGTTGTGTGTATGACAACATGGGAGAGTACTCGAAAGCACTTTCATTTTACGAAAAAGCACTTGGAATTAAACAAAATGCGCTTCCTCCAAATCATTTTGATTTGGCTACTTCATACTGCAACATCGGTGTAGTGTATAACAACATGGGAGAGTATTCGAAAGCACTTTTATCACACGAAAAAGCACTTGAAATCTATCAAAACGGGTGTGGGTGTGGGTGTGGGTGTGGGGTGGGTGTAGATGAGTCTCTCTTTCTTGAATAGACACTCAAGCCCACTTAAAAAATGCTAACAACAACTAGATAAAGTTTTGTTACATGTGAGAAACGATGCATAAATATTTAACGAGCACGTGGTATATCGAACGACTCTCCGGCGAGCAAGTGTCCGTTTTTGTATGGAGCCAAGCAAATGTTCTGCGAGCATGTATCCGGCGAGCAAGTGTCTAGCGAGCAAAAGTCCGACGAGGAAAAGTGCTGCGAGCAACTGCCCTAGATTCCACGCCAGCAGTTTCACCTACATCTACACCCAGTTATCAACGGAATAATAAATGAATCTACAACTAAAATGACCAAACTATCTCAATCATCATCGGTATCGTCATAGTATAGATATGAATGATACAGACTATGCTTAAACTAAAACTTTCAAAGATTATACAATAATAAATTTAAATCTTGTTTATAATAATACAAATAAAATCGTGTATAAAAAAAGAATTATAAATCAATAAATCTGTTCTTTGATAGTTTTTGTGGAAGAGCTTCCAAAAAGATGTTAAATGATGTAATAATCAGTAAGCAATTGCGAAATTGACTCTGTAACAGTCTTTTTAACTTCATCATATTGAGGTCGTTCGATAAGAATATAACCACTATCTTTGATAACGACTTACAACACAAGGGACATGTTGATGTCGTTGTTTCCATCGATTCTGATGACCTAAAAAGAAATATGAATTCATTTAAGTATATTCATTGAATATATCGATCAACTGACCGTTTTTGAAAACATTGATCACAAAATACATGCGTACATGGTAGAAAGAAATTTGCTGACTGATCCATACAGATATAACATTCATTGATACTCGAGACAGTATTCGATCTAAATAGGACGTATTAAATAATGAAGAAGATCAAATTATATATGTAACACTTACTAATTGTCCATCGTTAATAAAGACAAAGCTCTTTTGATGTATCTGAAGTACATTTGTATAGTGCAGCAATCTGTTGTGTCAATGACTTGCGTATAAAAAAATTGGAATAAACTGAACATTCTCCGATCGATCACCGTTTGATCTAATTTTGAAATCTATCCGACAAAATGAAATGAAGAAGATGATCATAGTACGACAACATACCCGATGGCATCGAATTCGTATCATGTATTTCCAAAAATAACCTGAATCAGACGACGGTAATATAGTAAATTTTCACGAATGTGATTCGTCTTTAGCAAATGCATCCAAAAGTTGATTAAACTCATTGAACAAAGTCGTAAATTCGAGATGAGCTAAACGAAAAATTCTCAGAAACGATATAAGTTTTATTTGTGAGTTCTAAAAAATGAGAAAATATATATTTTCATATACTCTTTCATTAGTGTATGTTTTGCCGAATTAACACTACATTCACTCAAGGCGCTAGAAATAAGGACGAAAAAACTAATATGCGCTAGTATACTCAGATTGTACATATAGGTGAATGTAATGCATACATTATTATTGCCTTCGTTTTCAACCTTTCATTGATCTTGAGGGTGTGGCTGTGGATGCAAGACTACAAAAGATACTTACACCCACACCTATCGATCTTTGAGGAAGAAAGAGCATTAAAAGATCAATGACATCATCATTAGTTATATGCATATAATCAATAGTAGCTAAGAAGATGTGATTTACAGCTACTACACATTATAGAACAACTCCTATTTATCTTGATATGTAGTAACAAGAGAGACATGTTGTTATAAGCAACTAGTGACAACTATAGGAAAACATTGATACTATATACAACTTTAATATAATGTGGATTGGACTGGCTGACACCATCTGAAATTCACGCCATCAAATTCCGACAGGTTCACTTCTTTTATTTATCTCTCACTTTCTCTACGTGATATTTCTACCTTATCTTCTTAATTAAACAACTTCTTATCATGACTAATAAAAATATTGCTTATTCATGTGACACATTTGTTGTTTTACCACCGTTGACAGATTCAAACTTTCATATATTTGGTAAAAATTCAGATCGACCAACAAGAGAAGTTCAAGAAGTTATATTTGTTTCAAAAGAACATACAAGAGAAAATAAGGATCATGTTCAGGTACGAATTTGTTTTTTGTATACTTTTACTTATTCCTTTTATTTAGTGTACTCATATTCAAGTTCCTCAAGTTTCAACAACTTATCGATGTATTTTATCAAAACCAGCATGGTGTTGGGGTGCTGAAATGGGTGCGAATGAACACGGAGTATGTGTTGGCAATGAAGCTGTAATCTCAAAAATACCTTTTGATACGCGAGATAAAGCATTGACTGGTCTTGATATTGTTCGGTTAATATTTTTTTCTTTTTTTAAATTAAAATTAATTTTGATTCTTTTAGCTTATCATTAGAACGTGCTAAAACAGCTAAGTCTGCTGTTGAAGTAATTGGTCAATTAATTGAAAAATATGGGCAGGGTGGCGTATGTTATGATCCAACATCAGATATTTCATCTGGTTATGATAATAGTTTTCTTGTTATGGATGATAAAGAAGCATGGGTCGTTGAAACATGTGATCGTGTTTGGGTAGCTAAACATATTAAAGGTAAAATATTTGCTTGATATTTTATACTGAAGTAAATTATAAGTTTTCTTTTCTTTCTAGAAGGATATTATAACATTTCAAATGTATATGGTATTGAAGA